GGAGCAGAGACAAACCATCTCTAACAAAGTGTTCTGAACATCTGCACCCAATTTCAAGAGTTCCTTGGCAGAAGGAATAACTCCTCAAAATCCGTTTAAGCTACCCTCTCCCTTTGACCCACCAGCTTAGGCAGGATGACACCCAGCGTTGTTCCCTGAAAGTAAGGAGGGTTTTTTTTATTAAAAGTCTGTTTAACTGGCAAATATTCATACATGCTATAGTCAGTGCAAAATGCAGGGAGCCACCCATCCACCTGCTGTCTTTCTGTCTCTAGATACCGTTTGCTGGTCTGCAGACTTCTTTGGTTTAGGTTATTCGTTTGTTCAACGAGTTGCATGAGGCAACAATCTGTGTTGGTTATGTGTATTTTCTTCTAACTCGATTCCCTGGGCTTTCCACTCCCTGAAGCCAAACTCTCCTCACGGTCTAACTCCCCTAGGTCACTGGCACTCTTTTGTTTGAATCAATCCTCTTACCTTTATTCTACAAACAAAGCAACCTCTTGTTGACAAAATGGAGAAAAATTGCAAGGTGATATATAACAGAGGGTCAGTGCACTCACTCCAAAGCCAGATAAATCCTTATGAGCAATTGTTCTGTTGACATTTTTGGGAACATTGGGAGGCTTCTGTTTGTGGCTTCCGGTCACCGAATGGATGAATAAAGAGAAACTATTACCTAAGTTCTAATAGAAGGGAGAGAGGCCAGATCTCAAGAGGGGCTCATGTAGATGTGCAGCAAGTTCAAATATGACACACAAAATGAGCAGCTTGCCACGAGCCCCGGGACTTATTTTCAGTGGATGCAGGCAAGAGTCAACTAGTGATTAAGCACTTTCCTCCAGATTAAAGTTCTGGTTATTTCTTTCTCTCTATAAATCATATGTACTTAGAGAGATTGCAGTTCCTTAGGTGCTGGTCTTTATGTCATCAGTGTTGCACTGTACACACAAGGAGCGATCATCAGTCTCAGAGGAACCCCGAGGTACTTGCATAAGTACAGTGGTACCTCGGGTTACAGAAACTTCAGGTTACAGATGCTTCAGGTTACAGACTCCACTAACCCAGAAGTAGTACCTCAAGTTAAGAATTTTGCTTCAGGATGAGAACAGAAATTGCGTGGCGGTGGCATGGTGGCAGCAGCGGGAGGCCCCATTAGCTAAAGTGGTACCTCAGGTTAATTACAGTTTCAGCTTAAGAACAGACCTCCAGAATGAATTAAGTTCTTAACCCAAGGTACCACTATACAGGAAAAAAGTCTTTAAAATAACGCCTAAAGAGGGGAAACCCCAAACGGTCCATGGCCATGGAATTACAACTGACTGAGGGGGAGGAAAACCAAGAGGAAATGGAGTATCCTGAACAGGCCATCACCCCCCACTGCTGATAAACTATACTAACAACACTCCAGATACCTAACAAAGGACAGTCATACAACCGTGATTTGTTCAGAATTTTATACTCATTTTGCATTGTAGACAAAATACACATATGCTCAGTGGTTAGAGTAAAGTGGTGGTGCCAGGTCAGACACAACAATTTCAAAGAATCTGAACACTGTAAAAGGTGAGCCCACGAAGCTACTGAAAATGGGCTTTTGGTTCTGGTCAACAACTAGTTTTGGTAGCACACGATTCTGAGCAAGAAAATGATAGTATATGTGGAAAAGATCTTAGCAGACCACAAGCTTAACGTGCACTTTCCATAGCTCAGTTGGTTGAGCATGGTGCTGATAACGCCAAGGTTGCAGATTCAGTCCCTGCATGGGACAGCTGCATATTCCTGCATTGCAGGGGGTTGGACTAGATGATCCCAGGGTCCCTACCAACTTTACAATTCTATGATTCTTTGACTCAACAGTATGATGCCACAGCAAAAAATGCTAATGCTATTCTAGGCTCCATTAACAAAAGTATAGTGTCCTGATCAAGGGAAATAATAGATCCACTCTTTTGTGCCTTGGTCGGACCACACCTGGAGTACTGTGTCCAGTTTCAGAAGTATATTGGCAAGCTGGAACGTGTGCAGAGGAAGATGACCAAGATGATGAAGGATCTGGAAGCTAAGCCTTATGAGGAGCAGTTGAAGGAGTTGGGTATGACCCCAGGGGTAAAGGGACCCCTGACCATTAGGTCCAGTCGTGACCGACTCTGGGGTTGTGGCGCTCATCTCGCTTTATTGGCCGAGGGAGCCGGAGTACAGCTTCTGGGTCATGTGGCCAGCATGACTAAGCCGCTTCTGGTGAACCAGAGCAGCACACGGAAATGCTGTTTACCTTCCCGCCAGAGCGGTACCTATTTATCTTTTTTTTTTAAAAAAATAATAATTTTTTATTAAGGTTTTAAACAAAGAAAAAGAAAAAACAACACACACAAAAAAACAATACAAAATTTAACAATAAAAACACAAAACATAACAATTAAAAACAAACTCTCTTTTCCATTCCCAATTTTAAATTACTTATTTTCTGGACTTCCTCATACCTCCCTCTTTTGTATTCCAATCTGCATTATTTGTCCAGCAGTTTCTTTTCCACTTTTTTAAACCCAATCTTTAATTTAATAAAATATTAAAATATATAGCTTCAACTTTTTAAACATAATCCTTGTTCTTAATGTCATATACCTTTAAATTTTTCCCTTTTATTATCAAATTTCCATTTCTTTAAACATCTTTAATCTTGATCTTTAATCTTAATCTATCCTTAACTTTAACCTGTACAGCTGGAAACCACTTATTTTCAATCCAACATCACTCTAACATTCCTTAATTTTGCAGTGTTTCTGAAGATAGTCTTTGAATTTCTTCCAGTCTTCCTCCATCGACTCTTCTCCCTGGTCACGGATTCTGCCAGTCATTTCCGCCAATTCCATATAGTCCATAAGTTTCATCTGCCATTCCTCCAGCGTGGGAAGTTCTTGTGTCTTCCAATACTTTGCGATGAGTATTCTTGCTGCTGTTGTTGCATACATAAAGAAAGTTCTATCCTTTTTAACACCATTTGGCCCACTATGCCCAGGAGAAAGGCCTCTGGTTTCTTGGGAAGGTATACTTAAATACCTTTTTAATTCATTATATATCATTTCCCAGAAAGCCTTAATCTTTGGGCACGTCCACCAAAGGTGAAAAATGTACCTTCAGTTTCTTTACATTTCCAACATTTGTTATCGGGCAAGTGATAGATTTTCGCAAGCTTGACTGGGGTTATGTACCACCTGTATATCATTTTCATAATATTCTCTCTTAAGGCATTACATGCCGTAAATTTCATACCAGTGGTCCATAACTGTTCCCAGTCAGCAAACATAATGTTATGTCCTACGTCCTGTGCCCATTTAATCATAGCCGATTTTACCGTTTCATCTTGAGTATTCCATTTCAGCAGCAAGTTATACATTCTTGACAGATTCTTAGTATTGGGTTCTAACAATTCTGTTTCTAATTTTGATTTTTCCACCTGGAAGCCAATTTTCCTGTCTAATTTAAATGCCTCCATTATTTGATAATAATGAAGCCAGTCTCGCACTTTGTTTTTTAGTTTTTCAAAACTCTGCAATTTCAGTCTATCTCCGTCTTGTTCCAAAATTTCCCAATATTTCGGCCATTTGACCTCCATATTGACCCTTTTCAAGGCTTTCGCTTCCATTGGTGACAGCCACCTTGGGGTTTTATTTTCTATATTTATCTACTTGCACTTTGATGTGCTTTCGAACTGCTAGGTTGGCAGGAGCTGGGACAGAGCAACAGGAGCTCACCCTGTTGCGGGGATTCAAACTGCCAACCTTCCGATCGGCAAGTCCAAGGCTCTGTGGTTTAACCCACAGCGCCACCATCTCCAAATATCTGAAAAGCTGTCATGTGGAAGGTCGGCCAAGCTCGTTTTCTCCGTCTCTGGAGGGTAGAACCCGAACCAATGGCTTCAAGTTACAAGAAAGGAGATTGTGACTAAACTTCAGGAAGAACTTGCTGATGGTAAGAACTGTTCGACAGTGGAACAGTCTCCCTCTGGAGGTTGTGGACTCTCCCTTCCTTGGAGGGTTTTAAGCAGAGGTTGGCTTAAAATCCTCAGGTTTTCATCCACTTCTACAATTGTATGATAGCCAAGCCAAAGTGTGAAGCCCCCAAAGGGGTCTGTCAGCATTCATGCACAGCAACCACTCTCTTCATGTCTTTCTTTCGCCTTTGGGTTGGCGGCAGCATTCTCAGTCAGCTGAATTTATCCCGGTTGCTCCTAGTAGAAAACGTAGCCATCTAATTCCTGATTTTAGCAATGTATGGGCTTTCCATCCTGAGATTCTATAAATGAAGAATAAGGAGGTATCTATTTGGGTCGTGCATTAGCGTAATTGGAGAAAGGAGACTGTTGATGGCAGCTCTCTCATAATGGCTTGGTTCAATAAGCTAACCTAGAGTTCCAGGTGACTTTCCCTCAAGTAGTGCCCTTCTTTGGAGAGGAAACTGCAGTGGCAAGCAACACGGAAATAATTCTATTGATTGAAGTGGCATTTGCATTAGGCGGGCAAGCATGCAGCAGCAAAATCCAACTTTTCATTTTCTCTTCTAATCATCCTTCTTATAAAAGCAGTCCTCTTGCATATTTAGGAACTTTATGATGCATGATGAGTCAACTCCATTTGACTCAATGTGGAATCAGCTGAAAATTATGAACTTTATTGGAGATTGTTTGGGGAAAGCTCATAACTTCTTTTTTTTTAAGAGTTCTCTTCTGGCTTGTAATATTGGTCAATTTATGTATATTTTCATTGGCAGCATTTATATACCACCACTTAAGAATAAGTTTCTAGGGCAATTAAAGGACATACCATCACATTTAAAAATACAATATTGTCAGAGCTGGCTCCAGGTCCCAGCTCACAGAGGACCAACGCTAGCCGGCAGTAATGTACAAAAGTCTTTATTGAAGTACAGTTTCCATTTTCAAGCCGGAGCGCCCCAGCTCTACGTCTAGGGGTTAGATCGGCGAAGCTCCATCTGAGTCTCCGCCCCCTGTACACCAGTTTAAGATTCTAGCCTTACTCCACCTCTTACGTCTCTCCTTTCTCCTCTGGGTCCTGCTACCCCCCGGGGTCCCTTCCTTCCTGGATTCTTCTGACGCTGACCCTCCTGACTCCTCCCGGGCTTTGGGACCTGGCTCCCTATCCGGGCTGCCAACTGCGCCGCCCTCCTGTACATTTGAACTTGGCGCGCGCGCCCAGCCTTCAACCTTCCTCTCGACCGTTTCCTCGCTCCCCGATGGAGGCGTGGCCAATCCTGACTCATGTCCTCCCACTGGCAGTGCGCCGCCTGATCCCGATGCCTGGGACTCCTCCCCCCCTACTGCACTCTGGTGTGGACGCTGGTCCTGATTTCCAACTGCTGCTCTCTGAGTCCCCTCTGGCCCCTTCTTCCTGGGGTGTCCCCTCGGCACCCCCTTGCTCTGACCAAGGGAGCCCCTTTCTGTGAATCTTCCGATTCGCTGGAAAGACTCAGAGACCTCGGACCGCTGTCATCGCTAACATTTCCTTCGGACTCCTCCCCTCGCTCTCTATTTCCTCCCTTTCCTGTGCCTCTGCTCCTGAACCCCTGACATCCATCCCCCTCGAAGCCCCCCTTCCCCTCCCCTCCTTCAGGTGTGGGTACTGGGTGCTCCGTCGTTGTGGGGGTGAGTGCCGGATACAGTCTCGTCCCCCGTGGCGTGCATCCAGCCGGATAAGTCCGGCTCGTCCTCCGTGCCTCGCCGACCTCAACTTCCTCTGCTTCCATCTCTTGCCGCCGTGCTCGAACCCAAGGTCCTCCCCCAACACGTCCATGTCCGTCTCTCCCCGGTCTCCTCCGGGGACGTTGCCTGCCAAGGACCCCCCAACCACTTCCTGCGCCACTGCTCCTCTGGTTGATTGTCCCACCAATAGGAACGGTCTGAGGCAGACCCCGAGGGTGATCCCTCCGGGGAACGTGTTTCTAGTGCCGGTTCCTCGTCCGAGGTGAACCCCTGGAATGTGCTAGCTGAAAATGTGGGTGTGAAAAGCCAGTCGTCGAAATACTCGGCTGGCATGGGCCTGTGTGGGAAAAGTGCATGGAACTCGTCCCTAACCCAAGATTCCTCCAGAGCATAATCTGGCACCCAACTGTTGGCGCTAGCTTCCTTGGCGAGGAGGTATTCCACTCCCTCCTCCCCCCATCTCGAGTCTAAAATCTCTGTGACTTCGTTGACGGGTTCCCGCCTTGGCGACCCCCCCCGTGTGGGCGTTTCCCTGAACGGGTCTGGTGCCGTTCCTGGCTCCTGAAATCTATGAGGTGCTTTGTAGGGCGTGAGCACTGATCTATGGAAAACTGGGTGCATTCTGGATCCCTCCGGCAGTGTCAACCGGAAGGCCACTGGATTGACCTGTGCCTCGACTTGGTAGGGTCCTAGCTGCTTATGCCCTAGCTTCTTCTTCGCTAACGATCTGGCCGGCACTGCCTGGGCTGCTAACCAAACCCAGTCTCCCACCTGTATGTCTTCCCCAACCCTTCTGTGCTTGTCAGCCTGCAGTTTGTATGCGTGCTTTGCTAGTTCTAACTGCCTCCGAAGCTGTTCGTGAACCTCCTGCAACTCTGATGCTAAGGCTTCCGCTGCCTGTGGCTCCCCTCCCCGCTCTCGCTAATCCCGGGAAGGTTCTGGGATGCCTCCCGTTGTTGGCGAAGAACGGTGTCACCCCCGTGGACACGTGCTTCGTGTTGTTGTAGGCGAACTCAGCGAGCGGCAGGTAGTCCACCCATGTTGCCGGCTGCTGATTTGCGTAGCATCGCAGGTACTGCTGCATGATGGCGTTGACTCGCTCCGCTTGTCCGTTCGTCTGCGGGTGTCTCGCCGACGCTAGGTTGATCTTGACGTTCAGGAAACCCATCAGCTTCTGCCAGAAGTTCGAGATGAACTGTCGCCCCCCCGGTCGGACAGGATAGACCGTGGCAGACCGTGAACCCTGAACACGTGGTCTATGAACAGTTTGGCGGTCTGTTCCGCCGTGGCCACCTTCGCGCACGGAATGAAGTGGGCCATTTTGGTGAACATGTCCACCACCACTAGCACTGCCGTCTTGCCCCTCGAGCTGGGTAGATCCGTGACAAAGTCCAGGGCCACCCTCTCCCACGGTTCGAGCGGTGTCTGCAGCGGTTCGAGCAGTCCCGCCGGCGGTTTGTGCACTGACTTGGCCCTTTGGCAGGTGTCGCACCTCGAGACGTAATCCGCGACTTCCCCGCATCTTGGGCCACCAAAAATCTCTGGCTACTAATTCTACCGTCTTCTCTTGCCAAAGTGCCCGGCGGTGGGTGCGTCGTGCAACTGCTGCAGTACTTTCGCGGAGGTCGTCTCCCGGTACGTAGAGGGCCCTCTACGGATGAGCAATCCGTCGCGTATCTGGAACTCGTCGTCCTCCGCCGTGCCCCTTTGCACCTCTGCCATCTTTGCTTGCGCGAAGGGGTCCTCCTGCAGTGCTCGACGTACAGCATCCAGGTCCACGGTTGCTGAAGCGCACGCCCACGCTTTCGGTGCGAAAATGTGCTTGGCCGCTGCTGGTGCCTCCTCGAGGTATTGCGGCTTTCTGGACAGTGCATCCGCCATGATGTTGTTGTCGCCTGGGATGTACTCTATCCTGAAGTCGAAATCCGCAAAGAACTCCGCCCATCGTATGTGCCTCTGGTTCAGGAACCTTGCCGTGCGCCAGTACTCCAGGTTTTTATGGTCCGTGCGGACCTGCACTGTGTGTTTGGCTCCAATGAGGAAGTGCCGCCACGCCTTGAATGCTGCATGAATGGCCAGCAACTCCCTGTCCCAGATGGTGTAGTTCTGCTCTGACTTGCTGAGCTTCCTGGAGTAGAAGGCACACGGTCTCCAGTCCCCATGCGGGTCTTGCTGCAACAGTACTGCTCCCACGGCTCTGTCTGAGGCGTCCGTTTCAACCCTCATCGGTCTGCTGGGATTCACATGCAGTAGCTGCTCTTCGGACGAGAAGAGACGCTTGAGTTTCTGAAAGGACTGCTCCGCTTGCTCCGTCCAGATGAACTTCTTCTTCTTGGAGCTGAGCGTGTCGGTAATGGCCGCCGTCTGCATCGCGAACCCCTTGATGAACTTGCGGTAAAAGCTGGCGAAACCGACAAACCGCTGGACCTCCTTCCGATTGCGCGGGCTCTTCCAGTCCAACACTGAGCGAACCTTGGCGCTGTCCATGGCGAGCCCCTTGTCCGACAACTTGTAGCCCAGGAAATCTACCTCCTTCATGTCGAACTGGCACTTCTCCAGCTTGGCGTACAGCCTGTGCTCCTGCAGTCTCTGCAGAACTTCCTTGACGTCTCCCTCGTGGGTCTCCTCTGATTCTGAAAATATCAGGATGTCGTCCAGAAAGCAGACGCATTTCTTGTAGAGGAGACCCGCCAATACGTGATGCATGAAGGCTTGAAAACAGTGGGAGCCATTTTGTAATCCAAAGGGCATAACTCTGTATTCATAGGTGCCCAGGGGCGTGAACATGGCAGTCTTCCATTCGTCGCCCTCCCGTATGCGAATCAGGTTGTACGCCCTCGCAGATCCAACTTTGTGAAAACGCGTCCTTTCCTCACCGTTGCGAGCAGGTCATCTATCTTGGGCATGGGAAAGGCTGTGGGCTTGGTTTTCGAGTTCAAAATTCTATAGTCCACCACAAGCCTTTTGGGGGCGTGTCCTTCTTCTTCACAAAGAATACAGGACTGCCCCCACTGCCTTCGACTCCTGGATGAAACCGCGCTTCAAGTTGAGGTCTATGAACTCCTGAGTTCCTGCAGCTCGCCTTCAGACATGGAATACAGTTTCCCGGTTGGCAGCGCGCTCCTGGCAGGAGGTCAATCTTGCAGTCATAAGACCTGTGGGGAGGTAGCTTGTCCGCTTCCTTCTCGCAGAAAACCTCCAAAAACGCTGCGTACTTGAGTGGCACTGCTTGCAGCGTGCCTAAGTGTAGCTGCGGGTCATCCTCTTCCCCTTCCGGGCTAGGCAGAATGCAATGTTCCGCACAGTATGAGGAGCCGAAGGTCAGTTGTCGCTGGTACCACGCCAATGCTGGGCTGTGCCTGTGCAGCCAACTCATGCCTAATACTATAGGCGTGTCCGACAGTTGGGTGACATTGAAGCTGATGACTTCTCGGTGATTCCCAATTTGCATCACCATCGGAGGCGTTTGCTGCACCACCTGCCCCCAGCAATTCCCTGCCATCCACCGTGACAACTTTCAGAGGCAGCGTGGCTGGCAGGAGTGCTATGTTGTGCTCTTGAAGGAAATCCAGTCCTATGAAGTCTGCGTTACTACCAGAGTCAATGGTAATCGGCACTTCCATAGTGAGTCCATTGGGTAGTTGGAGCGATGCTGTGAGCTGCACCACTGGTTTGGGCGGGAGGGGGTCTGTGGGCTGCAAAATCTCTGGGGACGGCTTCATTGACTTGTCTGGTTGGGCCCCAGTGCCTCTTCCTCCAACCAGACTCTGTCGTTTCCCTGCTGTGGTTCTCTCTGCTGAGTTGCTTCTGTTACTGTTGCTGAGGCTGCAGTGTGCTTGTGGAGCCTCTGGGGACACTCTTTCGCCATGTGCTGAGCACTGTCGCAGATGTAGCACTTCCTGTTCCCTCTAGGAGGCTTCGCTTGACTGCTCCCGGTGTTAAGGCTCTGGTTGCTGACTGAGCCCTGGCGCTCCAATCTCCATCGGTTGCTCTCCCTCCTTGCGGAGGTGGGGATTGCACACGCGCTGCATCCTTGGGAAAGAGGGGAGGTGCTCTCACTGGCGTACGTCCCCAACGTCCTTCTTCTCTGTTCCATGGACGTTCTTCCAGACGCACCCCAATTTGCAGCGCCCGCCGGACAACCTCCTGAGTGCTCTTTGGTCTCTCCCCTTGCAATCTCATCTTTCACATTTGCATTCAAGCCTTCCCAAAAAAGGTCTCTGGCTGGGGCAGAATCCTTCTCCCATCCCAGCGCATGGACTAATGCAAAAAAAAGCGGGAATGGTACTGCCTTACACTGGCTCTGCCTTGTTTGAGCCCATGTATGTCTTTTCTGGCGATATCAATGTCTATATTTGATAAAAAACACGAATCCATCGCTTTAATGAATGCATCCGCATTTTGGAGCGCCGGATCCTTATCTCTCCACAGATTGCGCAGCCACGCTTTAGCTTCCCCATGCAAATGGGACAAGATAAACCCCACCTTCTCTTGCTCATCTCTAAAGTCTTTATCCAGCAGTTCCAGCGCAAACAGCACGTCTGCTCGGAAGTTGGGTACTGCTGCAAATTCCCATCGAAATGAGATACCAGGCTGCCTCCTCTTTTCCCCAGCCCAATCCCCTCTGATTTGGGTCCCGGTTGCCCCTGCTTAGCAAGCACTTCCAACCTGGCTTGGAGATCCCTGCAGGCGGCAGCCGCTTCCTCTTCCCTTTTCCTGGATGCGAGTACCTCCGCGTTGAGTTGTGTCACTGCATTTTGCAGGGCTGCTAGTTGCTGTTCTGTAGTCATCTTGCCTGACTTTTGTGAGCTCGCGAAGCACCAATCTTCTTCCCCGCTGCGTCCACTCACGTTACGAGGTTTTTGGTGCAAAACTTTTGGAGATGGAGCTTACTGTCAGAGCTGGCTCCAGGTCCCAGCTCACAGAGGACCAACGCTAGCCGGCAGTAATGTACAAAAGTCTTTATTGAAGTACAGTTTCCATTTTCAAGCCGGAGCGCCCCAGCTCTACGCCTAGGGGTTAGATCGGCGAAGCTCCATCTGAGTCTCCGCCCTGTACACCAGTTTAAGATTCTAGCCTTACTCCACCTCTTACGTCTCTCCTTTCTCCTCTGGGTCCTGCTACCCCCCGGGGTCCCTTCCTTCCTGGATTCTTCTGACGCTGACCCTCCTGACTCCTCCCCCTCGTTTCGGCGGGCGCTGGGACCTGGCTCCCTATCCGGGCTGCCAACTGCGCCGCCCTCCTGTACATTTGAACTTGGCGCGCGCGCCCAGCCTTCAACCTTCCTCTCGCCCGTGTCCTCGCTCCCCGATGGAGGCGTGGCCAATCCTGACTCATGTCCTCCCACTGGCAGTGCGCCGCCTGATCCCGATGCCTGGGACTCCTCCCCCCCTACTGCACTCTGGTGTGGACGCTGGTCCTGATTTCCAACTGCTGCTCTCTGAGTCCCCTCTGGCCCCTTCTTCCTGGGGTGTCCCCTCGGCACCCCCTTGCTCTGACCAAGGGAGCCCCTTTCTGTGAATCTTCCGATTCGCTGGAAAGACTCAGAGACCTCGGACCGCTGTCATCGCTAACATTTCCTTCGGACTCCTCCCCCTCGCTCTCTATTTCCTCCCTTTCCTGTGCCTCTGCTCCTGAACCCCTGACAAATATGAACATAAAATGTAAAAACAGATTTAAGCATTAGGATGAAACCTAGTGTTCAAGGTATGAAAAGCATCCAGCCACATTTTTAAAACAGAAAAAGCCGAGGCAAATAAAATATTCTTAACCTCCTTCCAAAATAGACCCTCCAACATTTCTCCAATGAAAATAGGGATGTCCCATTCCATAATGATAATTTTAATATTTATACCCTACACATCTTACTGGGTTGCCCCAGCCACTCTTGGAAGCTTCCAACATATATAAAAATATAATAAAACATTAAACATTTAAAAAACTTCCCTATACAGGATTGCTTTCAGATGGTTTGGGGGTTGGATAACTTCATACCCTCCAACATTTGTCCAATAAAAATAGGGACATCCTAAGGAAAAGTGGGACATTCCGGGATCAAATCAGAAACCAAGATGGCTTCTCTAAATAATTCTTCAAATAATGTGGTGCCAAGCTGTTTGGGGCTGTAAAGGCTAATGCTAACATATTTTTTATTAGTCCCAGGGTCTGCACTATGCAGCAATCTGAAGCAATTGCTTTCCACTTGCCTTGCCATTGACACTACTTCATGAGGTTATGTAGGGCTCTATGCTTTGCTTGGAAAAGTGGGATCCTTAACTGATAATCCACCAACCAGCCATGATGTTGATGATGGTGGTGGTGATTTTATTTATACCCCACCCATCTGGCTAAGTTTCCCCAACCACTCTGGGTGGCTTCCAACATGTATAAAAACATAATTGTCAGAGCTGGCTCCAGGTCCCAGCTCACAGAGGACCAACGCTAGCCGGCAGTAATGTACAAAAGTCTTTATTGAAGTACAGTTTCCATTTTCAAGCCGGAGCGCCCCAGCTCTACGTCTAGGGGTTAGATCGGCGAAGCTCCATCTGAGTCTCCGCCCTGTACCCCAGTTTAAGACTCTAGCCTTACTCCACCTCTTACGTCTCTCCTTTCTCCTCTGGGTCCTGCTACCCCCCGGGGTCCCTTCCTTCCTGGATTCTTCTGACGCTGACCCCCTGACTCCTCCCCTCTTTTCGGCGGGCTTTGGGACCTGGCTCCCTATCCGGGCTGCCAACTGCGCCGCCCTCCTGTACATTTGAACCTGGCGCGCGCGCCCAGCCTTCAACCTTCCTCTCGACCGTTTCCTCGCTCCCCGATGGAGGCGTGGCCAATCCTGACTCATGTCCTCCCACTGGCAGTGCGCCGCCTGATCCCGATGCCTGGGACTCCTCCCCCCTACTGCACTCTGGTGTGGACGCTGGTCCTGATTTCCAACTGCTGCTCTCTGAGTCCCCTCTGGCCCCTTCTTCCTGGGGTGTCCCCTCGGCACCCCCTTGCTCTGACCAAGGGAGCCCCTTTCTGTGAATCTTCCGATTCGCTGGAAAGACTCAGAGACCTCGGACCGCTGTCATCGCTAACATTTCCTTCGGACTCCTCCCTCGCTCTCTATTTCCTCCCTTTCCTGTGCCTCTGCTCCTGAACCCCTGACATCCATCCCCCTCGAAGCCCCCCTTCCCCTCCCCTCCTTCAGGTGTGGGTACTGGGTGCTCCGTCGTTGTGGGGGTGAGTGCCGGATACAGTTCGTCCCCCGTGGCGTGCATCCAGCCGGATAAGTCCGGCTCGTCCTCCGTGCTCTCGCCGACCGCAAGTTCCTCTGCGGCCAGCTCTTGGCCGCCGGGCTCGACCCCCCGGTCCGCCCCCAACACGTCCATGTCCGTCTCTCCCCCGGTCTCCTCCGGGGACGTTGCCTGCCAAGGACCCCCCAACCACTTCCTGCGCCACTGCTCCTCTGGTTGATTGTCCCACCAATAGGAACGGTCTGAGGCAGACCCCGAGGGTGATCCCTCCGGGGAACGTGTTTCTAGTGCCGGTTCCTCGTCCGAGGTGAACCCCTGGAATGTGCTAGCTGAAAATGTGGGTGTGAAAAGCCAGTCGTCGAAATACTCGGCTGGCATGGGCCTGTGTGGGAAAAGTGCATGGAACTCGTCCTTGAGCCAAGATTCCTCCAGAGCATAATCTGGCACCCAACTGTTGGCGCTAGCCGGGGTACCTTCCTTGGCGAGGAGGTATTCCACTCCCTCCTCCCCCATCTCGAGTCTAAAATCTCTGTGACTTCGTTGACGGGTTCCCGCCTTGGCGACCCCCTTGTGGGCGTTTCCCTGAACGGGTCTGGTGCCGTTCCTGGCTCCTGAAATCTATGAGGTGCTTTGTAGGGCGTGAGCACTGATCTATGGAAAACTGGGTGCATTCTGGATCCCTCCGGCAGTGTCAACCGGAAGGCCACTGGATTGACCTGTGCCTCGACTTGGTAGGGTCCTAGCTGCTTATGCCCTAGCTTCTTCTTCGCTAACGATCTGGCCGGCACTGCCTGGGCTGCTAACCAAACCCAGTCTCCCACCTGTATGTCTTCCCCAACCCTTCTGTGCTTGTCAGCCTGCAGTTTGTATGCGTGCTTTGCTAGTTCTAACTGCCTCCGAAGCTGTTCGTGAACCTCCTGCAACTCTGATGCTAAGGCTTCCGCTGCCTGTGGCTCCCCTCCCCGCTCTCGCTAATCCCGGGAAGGTTCTGGGATGCCTCCCGTTGTTGGCGAAGAACGGTGTCACCCCCGTGGACACGTGCTTCGTGTTGTTGTAGGCGAACTCAGCGAGCGGCAGGTAGTCCACCCATGTTGCCGGCTGCTGATTTGCGTAGCATCGCAGGTACTGCTGCATGATGGCGCTTGACTCGCTCCGCTTGTGCGTTCGTCTGGGGGTGTCTCGCCGACGCTAGGTGGATCTTTACGTTGAGGAAACCCATCAGCTTATGCCAGAAGTGAGAGATGAAAAGTCGCCCCGGTCGGACAGGATAGACCGTGGCAGACCGTGAACCCTGAACACGTGGTCTATGAACAGTTTGGCGGTCTGTTCCGCCGTGGCCACCTTCGCGCACGGAATGAAGTGGGCCATTTTGGTGAACATGTCCACCACCACTAGCACTGCCGTCTTGCCCCTCGAGCTGGGTAGATCCGTGACAAAGTCCAGGGCCACCCTCTCCCACGGTTCGAGCGGTGTCTGCAGCGGTTCGAGCAGTCCCGCCGGCGGTTTGTGCACTGACTTGGCCCTTTGGCAGGTGTCGCACCTCGAGACGTAATCCGCGACTTCCCCCGCATCTTGGGCCACCAAAATCTCTGGCTACTAATTCTACCGTCTTCTCTTTGCCAAAGTGCCCGGCGGTGGGTGCGTCGTGCAACTGCTGCAGTACTTTCGCGCGGAGGTCGTCTCCCGGTACGTAGAGGGCCCCTCTGCGGATGAGCAATCCGTCGCGTATCTGGAACTCGTCGTCCTCCGCCGTGCCCCTTTGCACCTCTGCCATCTTTGCTTGCGCGAAGGGGTCCTCCTGCAGTGCTCGACGTACAGCATCCAGGTCCACGGTTGCTGAAGCGCACGCCCACGCTTTCGGTGCGAAATGTGCTTGGCCGCTGCTGGTGCCGCCCCTCGAGGTATTGCGGCTTTCTGGACAGTGCATCCGCCATGATGTTGTTGTCGCCTGGGATGTACTCTATCCTGAAGTCGAAATCCGCAAAGAACTCCGCCCATCGTATGTGCCTCTGGTTCAGGAACCTTGCCGTGCGCCAGTACTCCAGGTTTTTATGGTCCGTGCGGACCTGCACTGTGTGTTTGGCTCCAATGAGGAAGTGCCGCCACGCCTTGAATGCTGCATGAATGGCCAGCAACTCCCTGTCCCAGATGGTGTAGTTCTGCTCTGACTTGCTGAGCTTCCTGGAGTAGAAGGCACACGGTCTCCAGTCCCCATGCGGGTCTTGCTGCAACAGTACTGCTCCCACGGCTCTGTCTGAGGCGTCCGTTTCAACCCTCATCGGTCTGCTGGGATTCACATGCAGTAGCTGCTCTTCGGACGAGAAGAGACGCTTGAGTTTCTGAAAGGACTGCTCCGCTTGCTCCGTCCAGATGAACTTCTTCTTCTTGGAGCTGAGCGTGTCGGTAATGGCCGCCGTCTGCATCGCGAACCCCTTGATGAACTTGCGGTAAAAGTTGGCGAAACCGACAAACCGCTGGACCTCCTTCCGATTGCGCGGGCTCTTCCAGTCCAACACTGAGCGAACCTTGGCGCTGTCCATGGCGAGCCCCTTGTCCGACAACTTGTAGCCCAGGAAATCTACCTCCTTCATGTCGAACTGGCACTTCTCCAGCTTGGCGTACAGCCTGTGCTCCTGCAGTCTCTGCAGAACTTCCTTGACGTCTCCCTCGTGGGTCTCCTCTGATTCTGAAAATATCAGGATGTCGTCCAGGAAGCAGACGCATTTCTTGTAGAGGAGACCCGCCAATACGTGATGCATGAAGGCTTGAAAACAGTGGGAGCCATTTTGTAATCCAAAGGGCATAACTCTGTATTCATAGGTGCCCAGGGGCGTGAACATGGCAGTCTTCCATTCGTCGCCCTCCCGTATGCGAATCAGGTTGTACGCCCTCGCAGATCCAACTTTGTGAAAACGCGTCCTTTCCTCACCGTTGCGAGCAGGTCATCTATCTTGGGCATGGGAAAGGCTGTGGGCTTGGTTTTCGAGTTCAAAATTCTATAGTCCACCACAAGCCTTTTTTGGGGCGTGTCCTTCTTCTTCACAAAGAATACAGGACTGCCCCCCACTGCCTTCGACTCCCGGATGAAACCGCGCTTCAAGTTGAGGTCTATGAACTCCCTGAGTTCCTGCAGCTCGTCTTCAGACATGGAATACAGTTTCCCGGTTGGCAGCGGCGCCCGTGGCAGGAGGTCAATCTTGCAGTCATAAGACCTGTGGGGAGGTAGCTTGTCCGCTTCCTTCTCGCAGAAAACCTCCAAAAACGCTGCGTACTTGAGTGGCACTGCTTGCAGCGTGCCTAATTGTAGCTGCGGGTCATCCTCTCCCCTTCCGGGCTAGGCAGAATGCAATGTTCCGCACAGTATGAGGAGCCGAAGGTCAGTTGTCGCTGGTACCACGCCAATGCTGGGCTGTGCCTGTGCAGCCAACTCATGCCTAATACTATAGGCGTGTCCGACAGTTGGGTGACATTGAAGCTGATGACTTCTCGGTGATTCCCAATTTGCATCACCATCGGAGGCGTTTGCTGCACCACCTGCCCCCCCAGCAATTCCCTGCCATCCACCGTGACAACTTTCAGAGGCAGCGTGGCTGGCAGGAGTGCTATGTTGTGCTCTTGAAGGAAATCCAGTCCTATGAAGTCTGCGTTACTACCAGAGTCAATGGTAATCGGCACTTCCATAGTGAGTCCATTGGGTAGTTGGAGCGATGCTGTGAGCTGCACCACTGGTTTGGGCGGGAGGGGGTCTGTGGGCTGCAAAATCTCTGGGGACGGCTTCATTGACTTGTCTGGTTGGGCCCCAGTGCCTCTTCCTCCAACCAGACTCTGTCGTTTCCCTGCTGTGGTTCTCTCTGCTGAGTTGCTTCTGTTACTGTTGCTGAGGCTGCAGTGTGCTTGTGGAGCCTCTGGGGACACTCTTTCGCCATGTGCTGAGCACTGTCGCAGATGTAGCACTTCCTGTTCCCTCTAGGAGGCTTCGCTTTGACTGCTCCCGGTGTTAAGGCTCTGGTTGCTGACTGAGCCCTGGCGCCTCCAATCTCCATCGGTTGCTCTCCCTCCTTGCGGAGGTGGGGATTGCACACGCGCTGCATCCTTGGGAAAGAGGGGAGGTGCTCTCACTGGCGTACGTCCCCAACGTCCTTCTTCTCTGTTCCATGGACGTTCTTCCAGACGCACCCCAATTTGCAGCGCCCGCCGGACAACCTCCTGAGTGCTCTTTGGTCTCTCCCCCCTTGCAATCTCATCTTTCACATTTGCATTCAAGCCTTCCCAAAAAGGTCTCTGGCTGGGGCAGAATCCTTCTCCCATCCCAGCGCATGGACTAATGCAAAAAAGCGGGAATGGTACTGCCTTACACTGGCTCTGCCTTGTTTGAGCCCATGTATGTCTTTTTCTGGCGATATCAATGTCTATATTTGATAAAAACACGAATCCATCGCTTTAATGAATGCATCCGCATTTTGGAGCGCCCGACCCTCATCTCTCCACAGATTGCGCAGCCACGCTTTAGCTTCCCATGCAAATGGGACAAGATAAACCCCACCTTCTCTTGCTCATCTCTAAAGTCTTTATCCAGCAGTTCCAGCGCAAACAGCACGTCTGCTCGGAAGTTAGGGTACTGCTGCAAATTCCCATCGAAATGAGATACCAGGCTGCCTCCTCTTTCCCCAGCCCAATCCCTCTGATTTGGGTCCCGGTTGCCCCTGCTTAGCAAGCACTTCCAACCTGGCTTGAGATCCCTGCAGGCGGCAGCCGCTTCCTCTTCCCTTTTCCTGGATGCGAGTACCTCCGCGTTGAGTTGTGTCACTGCATTTTGCAGGGCTGCTAGTTGCTGTTCTGTAGTCATCTTGCCTGACTTTTGTGAGCTCGCGAAGCACCAATCTTCTCCCTCGCTGCGTCCACTCACGTTACGAGGTTTTTGGTGCAAAACTTTTGGAGATGGAGCTTACTGTCAGAGCTGGCTCCAGGTCCCAGCTCACAGAGGACCAACGCTAGCCGGCAGTAATGTACAAAAGTCTTTATTGAAGTACAGTTTCCATTTTCAAGCCGGAGCGCCCCAGCTCTACGTCTAGGGGTTAGATCGGCGAAGCTCCATCTGAGTCTCCGCCCTGTACACCAGTTTAAGATTCTAGCCTTACTCCACCTCTTACGTCTCTCCTTTCTCCTCTGGGTCCTGCTACCCCCCGGGGTCCCTTCCTTCCTGGATTCTTCTGACGCTGACCCCTCTTTTCGGCGGGCTTTGGGACCTGGCTCCCTATCCGGGCTGCCAACTGCGCCGCCCTCCTGTACATTTGAACTTGGCGCGCGCGCCCAGCCTTCAACCTTCCTCTCGACCGGTTCCTCGCTCCCCGATGGAGGCGTGGCCAATCCTGACTCATGTCCTCCCACTGGCAGTGCGCCGCCTGATCCCGATGCCTGGGACTCCTCCCACCTACTGCACTCTGGTGTGGACGCTGGTCCTGATTTCCAACTGCTGCTCTCTGAGTCCCCTCTGGCCCCTTCTTCCTGGGGTGTCCCCTCGGCACCCCCTTGCTCTGACCAAGGGAGCCCCTTTCTGTGAATCTTCCGATTCGCTGGAAAGACTCAGAGACCTCGGACCGCTGTCATCGCTGACATTTCCTTCGGACTCCTCCCCCTCGCTCTCTATTTCCTCCCTTTCCTGTGCCTCTGCTCCTGAACCCCTGACAATAATAAAATGTCAGTCATTAAAAACTTCCTGATACAGGGCTGCCTTCAGATGTCGTCTAAAAGTTGTGTAGTTCTTTATCTCCTTGACATTTGATAGGAGGGCTTTCCACAGGGTGGGCACCACTACCAAGAAGGCCCTCTGACTGGTTCCCTGTAACTTCACTTCTCACAGTGAGGGAACCACCAGAAGGCCGATGGAGCTGGTCCTCAGTGTCCAGGCTGAACAATTGGGGTAGAGACAATCCTTCAGGTATACGGGGCCAAGGCTGTTTATGGCTTTAAAGGTTAGCAGCAGCACTTTGAATTGTGCTCAGAAACATACTGGGAGCCAGTGTAGATGCTTTAGGACCAATGTTATATGGTCCCAGTGGCCACTCTGCAACCCTTAGAAAACCCTTTATAACATTTCCAGGGTCCTGGGGAGAGATAATAGTAAACTAATTTACGTTTGCAGCACAGATACGCCATTGAAATATCAAAGTACATGATGTGTGAATTAGTTGATATCGTTGTGCATTTAGATCACTGAACTCTGATGTATTGCGCAATAAGTAATAAAGATAGGTAATGAAAAGTGTGAGCTGTGGAGTCCATAAATGTGAACTTGCAAGGTTATGCCTTTTGTTTTTAGATTAATATGTAGTCAGTAGGATATTTGGCCTTGGAGAAATCAATAATGGCAGTAGATGACTTTATTCAAAGTTATGCAAGTGCCAATTAATTTGAACAAAGAAATGGAGATAATGGGTGGTGTTGGAAGGCAAGAAAAATGAATGAGATGGGAATTGGAAGAAGCTGTGAGATATGGAGAGGTTTAAACAGACACCAAGCCACACATGAAGATGTGCAGCAAGAGCACATGGGTTGGAAGCAACCCAGAGAGGCTGTGGCCAGTTGGGCAGGGTAATAATAGCAATAGTAATAATAATAATAATAATAATAATAATAATAATAATAATAATAATAATAAAATCAGAGAAAGGTTGGAGGGTCTGGAAAAGGAAGCAGGGCAGTGGTTGTGTTCTTAAGCATAAATATTACATTGATAGGTAGCAGGAGAAAAGGGAGTGGAGAGGGAGATAGTATGATTCCAGGTCTTCAAGTAAGTGTTAAATAGTTAGCCTTGATCCCACACAAGTGATAATATTGAAAAGGGTCACTGGTTTGACTGACACCACCCTTTTAAGCAAAGTCTTCTAAACCACATAGTATACCATGCTTGCCCTGTCGGTAAACCTCACCACCCAACAGATTAATCCGTACAGTCTGCAAAATGGAATTTTCCAAGGCCTGTTGTGGTGCCTGGCAAATTAGTGGTCACAAAGGAGACCGCAATTAGCACAAAGGGGATCAATAACATAAATAGATCATTGTCTTCCCTGTTATTTCAGAGCCTGTTAGCTGGAAGCAGATAAACAGAAATAATGAGCAACTGTCAATGAAAGCTTTGGGGAAGAAGAAGTGAGGTGACAAAGGAAACAGAGAGGGGGAATGAACCAGAGGGTGGGTGATGCATTAGCTCAGAGGGCAGTGCAGTTCCCAGTGAACTGGACAGAAATAGGAAGAGTGATAGAGAGGGAACGAAGCACTGTGTATCAGCAGAAAAGAATTTGCTTCACTTAGGAAAGTGTGGTCAGGCTATACTTCTTGGATGAGGACTGAGAAATCAGTTAACTCTCCAGAGTTTATGTGGGTTGATGACCTCTTTGCCTTTTTCATAGAAGTTCTTTGATACAAGACACAGTAGATTATTTGTTTCAGTGTGTATCCTTTGATTCATTAACCAGCTCATGCTGGCTTAAAGAAAAAATAAGATAAGCATACAATTAAGCCTTTAATCATAAATACAGTGGTACCTCAGGTTACATACGCTTCAGGCAGGTTACAGACTCCACTAACCCAGAAATAGTGCTTCAGGTTAAGAACTTTGCTTCAGGATGAGAACAGAAATCGGGCTCCGGTGGCACGGCAGCAGCAGGAGGCCCCATTAGCTAAAGTGGTGCTTCAGGTTAAGAACAGTTTCAGGTTAAGTATGGACCTCCGGAACGAATTAAGTACTTAACCTGACGTACCACTGTATATGTTTAGATAGTGCTAGAGATTGCTCCTGTTTGAATGCGTCCTTGCATTTTCAGTCAGTTGCTGGGCTGTTGTTGTGGTGTTGTTGTTGCTGTTTTTTATAGTGAGCTACATTAGGTTATATTTTATTTTACAGTGCTGCCACATAGCTCAAGCGAGCTCCCTGGGTGGCTAACAATGGTATTAAAAGCTTCCCAAAAAAATGGAGCCTCAGCAAAAATAAAAATAAAACATAAATGAAACAGGAGTAGCTAAAAACCAATGAAACCATAAGTGTGAAATGACAGATGAAACCTGTCCCAAGGTAAAAATACAAATCCATTTCAGTTGCTATCTCTAAAAGTCTGCCATATTAGGGAAAGCTTTAGGTCAGTGGATGGGAAAAACTACATTGGCTCCCAGTACGTTTCCAAGCACAATTCAAAGTGTTGGTGCTGACCTTTAAAGCCCTAAATGGCCTCGGTCCAGTATATCTGAAGGAGTGTCTCCACCCCCATCGTTCTGCCCGGACACTGAGGTCCAGCACCGAGGGCCTTTTGGTGGTTCCCTTGCTGCGAGAAGCCAAGTTACAGGGAACCAGGGAGAGGGCCTTCTTGGTAGTGGCACCCTCCCTGTGGGACGCCCTCCCACCAGATGTCAAAGAGAACAACAACTACCAGACTTTTAGAAGACATCTGAAGGCAGCCCTGTTTAGGGAAGCTTTTAATGTTTGATGTATCACAGTATTTTAATACTTTTTTGGAAGCCGCCCAGAGTGGCTGGGGAAGCCTAGCCAGATGGGCGCGGTATAAATAATTTATTATTATTATTATTATTATTATTATTATTATTATTTCAGACTGAGGGCTGCATTCCCTCCCGGGCGACTTTTGATGGTGGTAAGCGGGGCCAGAGGGAAATGTGGGAGGAGCAATAAATGCAAATGTTATAGCTGTACTAAATTAAACTAGTTTCTACAAAGACTTGGGTTGTATGAAGTGTTAGAAGAGGGGTAGTAACTCTGGTGAGGGACT